GACACTTAAATAAGATCTTTTTTTTTTGTATGTGGAATGATATTTTTGTACACTGTGAAGATGTGTCTTTGCCAAGGCACCTTCTGATTGGTTTAATAAAGAGCTAAACAGCCAAGAGCTAGGCAGGAGGTATAGGTGGGACTTCTTCGCACAAAGAGGACTCCGGGAAGGAGAGAGGCAGAGAAGTCATGAAGACATGGAATGAATCAGACACATAGAATGGGAGAGAGGTAAAGTTCACATGGTAGAATGTAGATTAATTTTAAAAATGGGCTAATTTAAGTTATAAGAGCTAGTGGGACAAGCCTAAGCTAAGGCTGAGCTTTCATAATTAATAATAAGTCTCCATGTCAATATTTCGGAGCTGGCTGGCAGGACAAAGAAAGACTCATTACATATTTTTGCTTATCTTATACTTCAGTACTGTTTGCCTTACACTAATGGTGTAAGGCAAAATTTTACTTTAAAACCCGTATTACCAGGTAATCCAAAAGGGATCTTCCTAACTTAGATACTACTTGCCACTGACATGTGCTACTGCATGGAGGAGTACCTTCTCTCTCCTTGTTTTTCCTACTGCTGCCAAAATAAACGTGAACTTCCAGCAAGCAGACATGGAGTTCTCCAGAGGCCATATGGAGACAAACAATATCTGTACACCCGCCTCCCTCTGGATGTCATCATTGTTTAAAATTTTGCCCCATTCCAGCTAAACTAATTCATCCTAGTAATACTGGCTCAGGCTGGGAAGGTAACAGAGCTACAGTGTCTTTCTTCATTTCCTGGCAGAAGGCCTGCCTCTTTTGGGCTTTCTCAACTCTGAGGCTTGCTTTGATCCAACCTACTTGATAATGCACCGTGTGTGTGTGTGTGTGTGTGTGTGTGTGTGTGTGTGTGTGTGTGTGTGTGTCTGCACGTGTGTGTGCACGCACATGCTCACAACACACATCTATACATGTATAGCAAAAATATACTTCAGGCTTTCAATTAGTGGGCCAAAAGATCAATGCCTCTTCTACGTTGCCCAGCATAGATGCTCTGAATTTTCTAAGTGCTTCTTGTATACATTAGTGAATGGGTGATAAATTAGAAGCCCAGAGGAGCAGAAAATGCTCAAAGCCTGGAGTCTTTCTATGTTGTCTACCAACCTGAAGAATCTGAAATGTGAATGTTGTCTGAGCTGCCAGGGAAGCTAAGAGTGGAGGCAGGGAGGCTGGGTTCTGATGCTAGGACAAGACTAAAGGAAGAAGCCAAAGAGGCTCAGTACCAGTTCCTGGGAGGTGCAGGCCTAAGTTTCACAGCACAGTGATGCTAGAATCAACACATCCCCTTCCATCTGCAGGACAGTGCTCTCCTCGAACATCACCAGCATTTCTTCAGGACGTCTTCTAACTATGCGGCAGCAGTCATGAGCTCATGCAGCGATTTGCCTTGATTTTTTAATTTATTGTAGGAAAGACAGAGAAAGAAGATGACAATCCTCAGAGGTCCTACCATATTGGGGGAAAAAAATCACTCTTTAGGGTAATATCATACATTTTCCTAGGACACATATATAATGAATATTGAATGTTTATGTATATGTTTTCTTAATCTATTCAATAATCTCATAATTCAAGCAATGTAGATTTTACTTACTTATTTAGATAATGAATAATCCTATGTCACACGACCTTCCATGTTGGATGGAGATGCCATCTACCTTTGGTATTTCCTCTTGAGGACCTGACGCTTGTTCTTGAGAATAAGTGTTGTTGTCCCCTGGCCCTGCTCTCTGCTCTGCGGCTTCTATTGCTCCCCACCCTTATTTGGAGAGATAGGACCATTCTCTGAATCCGGAGCTCCCTGTCTTGGTTAGACTGGCTTCCCGGCGGGCCTCCGACGTCCCCTTGTCTCCGACAAGCTCCTCAGCTCCTCACTGGGGCTTCAAGCTCAGGTCCTTGCCCACTGAACCATCTCGCCCAATTTATTTTATTTCTTCTAGAAGCATTTTGAACTGAAAAGTACATAAACATATCCTCAAGGATATGTGATAAAAACAATACTTAGAAATCCTCTTCAGCACTTATAAACATGGAACTGATCTTTCTGGAATCAATAATCTTTCAAACACTTGAACTCTTGAGTTGTTGACCAGGAATATTATTTGCTAAGCAAGCACCAATTTCTTCCCTCTCCAGATTCTCCCCAGGAGGAGGAAAATGCAAAATAGTGTTGAACAACAAGACTTCCAAGACTAGCGAAGTCGTCGGTTCCTAGGTGGAAGGCTGCTGTAAGAACAATTCTTCTCCGGTAGATGGCACCATTTTCTTTCTTCGAGTGTTTGCCACTACACCCCCGCCCGCCCCGCCCCTCCACCTTACCATCCTTGTTTTAGGTAGCAGCTGACAATAATTACTGGTTATTGGTGTATCTTTTGCTTTCTTTTTCTTTTCTTTTTTAAATCACTGCGGAGACGGCTAAAAGCCCCAGATGAGGAGCATCTTTGCCTTGGCTGAGTTAGCCCCGCGGGATCCCATCTCTCATCGTCTTCCCCCATTTCCCAAGGAACAGTTGGCATGCTGGATAAAAAGCTTTATAAAGTTTTCCTGCTTCTACAATAATAAAACAAATCAGAAGTCAAATACTGACTCCGGGATTAATGTTTCCCAAATAGAGCAAACTACTCATCAAATTATGCAGATACCTCCTCTGGGTGGTTAATAATGAACATTAAAAAATTCACTAGCTCAGTTGTGATGGAAATATTGGCAAAACATTTTGCTGCCCCACGAGCCCTTTCAATACCCTAACAGATGGTAGGAGTTGTCACTCCGACAGGACCGACACACGGCAGAAAGGAAATCTGTGGAAGAGACCAATAAAGGATTGGAAATCGTGATGCAAGTGCGGGAGTTGAAATATGGAGGAATAAACTCTTGATTATACCTTTAAAAACTGCTAGCCATTTCAGGGCAGCGGAATATGGGGCCCACGTTTACTTTTCCAGTTCTCTTTTACAAATGGGCCCCAAGTCGCTGTAAAACAAATTCTAGGGCTTGGCGTTTACCCTGAAAACAGGCTGAATTTCGACTGAGTCCTCTTTGTGAATACTAGAAGGTGCAGAGATGTTTAAGTTTTAGGGTGTTTTAAGCCAACCACATATGTGGGAGACTGGTCCAGGCTCTTGGTAGTAGGTGACTCTCTCCGCAACATCCTAGAACATCAAGCGATAAAAGCCCGCCCAGCCTCTGCCCCTGCCCGAGGCAGGCGCAGGTGAAGGCTGCCCACTGTCTGCCTCCACCTCCTCCCCCTCCACCCGGCAGCACTGACAGGTGGCCTTGCCCCGCCTCTCTGTCACCCAGGGCGTCTAGGGCCACAGCTCCAGGCCATGAGCCACAGCCGCGCGCCAGGGGTAGCATGAGATGGGACTCCTGAAGTCGGCCTTCTCCCTGAGAGCGCGACCTGGACACCGCAAAGTAAAGGGCATCCAGCGACCGGCTTTGGCCGAGCGTGGTCCACCAGGCGCAGCTCGCTTCTCCTGAACAAGGGCCCAGTGGAGCCCTATGGCCAGGCACATCCAACCCTGTGCTGTGTCCTTCGCCGCTCTCTGCCACCTTATACATCCCAGACCCCAGGAACCTCTCCAAACCCCCAGCGACAGTAACTCTGGGTGTCTACACTCCGGTCAGCTACCAGCTGGGCTAAAGGGTCAGGACCTGAAGAGCCACATTCCCAAGGGCGAGCAGCGGGTGGCAGCACAGTCCCAGTTCCAGCTCCGTTCGGGTCCCCTTCTGTCCCAGCTCTGGCGACTCCGGTGCCCCTGCCGCTGTAGAACACGCGGGTGGCAGCAAGGAGTAATTCTCCCGGACCCCTCCCCTTCTCCAAACTTCTGTGCTTTGCTTTGCAGATCCTCCAATCTGTGCTCTTCCGCTCCTCCCACTTGGCTCCCTCCGCCTCTACGGTCCCGGCTTAGGAATCCGTCCCTCCCCCAAGCCCGCCGCCCGCCGGGCCCGGGGATCCTCCCCCGACTCCCCCGCGTGCCGCCGCCGCCGCCCGGGTTCCTCTCCCCCCGCTCGGGCGCTCCCTGCCAAGCCCATGATGTAATGGTGTATGTTAATCAGTAGCATGTGGGGAGCTCCGGGCGGCTCAGTCCTTCGCGAGCCGACACTGGAGGCGGCAGTGGCGGCGGCGATAGCGCCCCGAACCCGCAGCGCTGCACTCTCCGCGCGCCACCAGCCCCGACGGCATGGCCCGCAGCCCGCGCTCCGAGCGCCCCCAACCCTGCTGATTGCTGCCTCGGACCTGGACCCGCGCACAGGGCCCCAAGCCGCAGGAATGAGCCGAGTGGAGGTGAGTGTCTCTCCTACTGCCTCCGGCGAGGCACTCAGCGGTCCCTCCGACCCTTACCCGGGGATTTCGCGCTCCCACTCAGAACTTCTAGGCGGCAGATGTTGAAAGCGAGCGGCCCCCAGAGGGCCGGGCGGTTAGTCTTTCCTACTCGCTGCGCCACCAGAGCTGGGGTGGGACGGTAGAGCCCCCAAACCTAACTTTCTTCTTTGCGATCCTGGGGTGGGGGGGCGTATGCTGGAGGGAGGAATCTGCATTCCCCATCGGGACCGCCCTGCCACTCGGGAAAGCCGTACTATGGGCTCCCACGGTCCTCGAGCAAGGCGTGCTCCCACAACTGCTTCGCCTTGGGCCTGGGACCCACAGGCGAGGACACTCCGACCCGCAGGCTGAGGCGGGGACGGGAGCAGGATGCCTAAATCACACGCGCGCGAACACACACACACACACACACACACACACACACACACACACACACACACACAC